AAGTCTATCAGCTCGGTTTGGAAATGCGAAAAAAAAAAAAAAGGGTTTAGCCGAGCCGGCGAATTATGAATAGTACATATATCCTTCACTCTTTTAATAATGTAGGATAGGATACATCCTCACAGTAAACCCCTTGCCATTATTTATCAAAACCAACGTATTGAAGAGTGAATTTTTGGAAATATATGTATTTAAAAAGTAGGCAAAAGTTTTGAATGTACGTTCAGAATATTTTCTTATATGAATATGTGATTGAAAATAAATATATAGAAAGAAGAGTTTTGAAATAACGATTTTCAAACAAGGGCTAAATATTCTTCACATAAATTCAAGACTTTTTCCTACTTTTTGATCACACATTCTTCAATACTCACTGTTCAAAAACTCACTCTTCCCAAAAAAAAAAAATGGTCGTCAAACAGGGCTATATTTACACCAAAGCAGAAAGGATGAATGAGTTAATTTATACAAATGGTCGATGAAGTTTAATTGACATTTCAAAATGGTCCTTCTATTATTGTTTTTGCCTATTTAGCTTTCGTTTGGATAACAATTTATAAATGGTTTATAAGTTCGATCAAATTTAAACATTAATTTCAACAACGCGTTCATAACTGTTACTCATTATTGTCCACACATTTAACAAGATTCACTACTACTCATTTTTATAAATCATTAATAAATTTGCCAAGTGAAAGCCTAGTCTTTTGTTATAAAAGACTTGGTGTTAGTAAAACAGATTATTAGCATCTGAATCATTTGAGACAAAAAGACATGAAAAGCACATCGAGAAAGTTTTTCGAAAGTTCAACATGGATAAGAGTAAAATTGTTAGTGTTCCTCTTGATGTGAAATAGAGCAATGAGCAGATTCATTTGACAATTGAAGGGAGAGAAGATATGGAAGTGTTACATATGTCTAAGCAGTAGAAAGTTTAATGTATGTTATGGTGTGTACAAGATCAAATATAGCTTGTAAAGTTAGCATTGTTAGTCGAATTCTTGCTAATCCAGGAACATATAATTGAAATCTAGTCACATGAATTATATGATACCTTCGTGTCACTTCCAGGGACGGATCTAGGGTCGGATTACAGGTCTGGCTAATACATAAAAAAAATAAAATTACACATAAATTTTTTTTTGGGGCCCCTAAATCCGTCCCTGGTCACTTCCGACTAGTTATTTAGTTATTTTTTCATGTAGGGCAATGTCATGAAAGTCGAAGTTAATGATGTGTGATGCACTTTATACAACAGAAGCAGAGTTCATTATAGCAACTGAAGCTAGTAAATAATTATTGTGGATGAAAAACTCTATTAGATGCTCAAGCAAGAGAAATACGTGTCATTCGATAACAACCATGACGTTATTTGCTTAGTGAGAATGCTACCTTTCACGCCAGATCGAAAAATATTGATGTGAGATATCATTGAATTAAAAATTCTCTAGAGTTTGAGTACACAATTGCAACTTTTTAATAGTTGATTCTTACCATGAAACGATTGGAGTCAATTGGATATAATTAGAAGTCAAAAAAGAGTGAAATATGATCAAAATATCTTCACGGATCAATTTTTAACTGCACAAGTATGTTCCAAATTTTTATCTTGAGCTTGAAAACCATTTTTGGCATAGTAAACGTTCGAATTGAAAAATGATATCTGAAGCAAAGTTGTAGTCATTTAAGTTATCTTTTCAAAACACTTTAAATCGTCACAATCGAATATCAAGAGAAAAAGGTACAATAAAAATAATGAAGGATGTGCAGTGCTAATTTTCTACTCGAAAGTAGGCTCCGCGAAGCCACTAAAGTAGCGCCCTAGTGCCACCATTGCTGAATTTTCATAGTAACACAGCTCCGCTGAGTGAGAGTAAGAGCTTTGAATTTTTTTTGTCTCTTTTTAATGTCAATCCGACTCTTACTTCTCTACATTTTTTTTGTTTATGAAATTGATTGTGTCTCTTTGTATAGTTATGAACTAAACTTTTAAATTACGATTTGATGTAATCAACTTGAGATTATGTTTTGATAACTAAATAGTTATTTCTTTGATATTTTTCTATTCCTTTTATTCGTATTATTGATTTTAATGCTTTTAATTACTTGATCACTAATTGAATAAATTGATTGTCTAAATTTCGACACTCGATGTAGAAAAATTTAAACGCGATCATAGAATAACACAATCTAAGTTTTTTAGGTTTTGATAGAAAAATATATTTGAAGCATGTTACAAATATGAACCATGAAATTGATAATTCTTAGTTATTTGATTCATAATAGAGATATTGGAATTGAATTCTAGGAATAGTTTTTACTCATCACTCAAGAGAGGAAGTATAATTAAATTATGGTTCTTGCTTATAAATTTAGGAAAATTGATTAGAGACAATTAGATAGTTGAAAAACATAGTTGATAGTTAGGTGAAATTATAACCCTATGCTTTCTTGTATTGATTAATTCTCATAAATTGCGTTGAAATAGTTGAATTTGTCACAGCATCCACGTTAGAAGTAGATAAAACCATTGATACTAAATTTTGATTGTTTAGATAAAATAGAAGCTATTCAATTATAGTACTTAGTATAAAATTGATATTCAATCCTTGTGAATTTGACATCCATACTTGATCTTTATATTACAAAACTCGACATTATACACTTGCGGTATATTTACGTTATAGAAAACGTGTAACAATTCCTTCCGTAGCAAGAAAAAAAAATTAGGGTAATTAAAACCTCCCCAGTTATTCTGTGTAAAGGGAACTAAGCCATCTGTATTCATGGAAAACAATTTCCTCAAAATTCTCTGTCGTGCCTATGAATTAACAAAATTTGGAAAATCCGAAAGCAATAGGAAATTCGTCTGAGGTTGGGCAGTTGGCACAACTACGATCAAAGTTCAATATCTTTGCACCCCATGCTCTGGTATTCGTGGAAGTCAAACAACATATAGACGGCTCACTGTTCTTCAAATTCAATGGTTAACATCAAGATTTAACAGTTCATTCATGAGTAATTACTACGTGGCGTTTTGGGTTCGTACAAAATGGTTAATTATATTATTCTACTACGTTATCTAGCTAGATTAACATCCTTCTTTCATTTGAAGTTGGTTGTCTAGAATATAATTTATTAGTGGTTACAAAAGCAGATAATTATGTTGAGCTTTGACATCAACATCGTTGTTCTTGCTGAACAAGAAGCATCCAATAGTAGGAAAGTGATAGCATGGCTACAATTTTGACTTCGAATATGAGAATAAGACATTTTCAACTTCTTGTAGTTTATGCTACCCTTACCTGCGCATAGAGTGATCTATAGACAACTAATCCCAATATGACTTTAGATTTTAGAATGCTAAAATATGCCAACAATGACTTGTGCTCTTCGTGATGGTAGTTCACATATTCGAGGACTATTGCTATGAGAAAAACGTTCTTCCAACTCTTGCTAGACTCCTAGAAGTATCATAGTAAATTAAAGTTTTGCTAAATAATCGATAGCATTGAACATCCATGATAGGAGCATATCATTAGACACATCCCAAATCTTGAGACTTGTTGAATCTACATCAGGCATCTCCATCATTATCCATGAATCCCAATTGTTTTTGGCATTTAAAGTCATTTTCATAGCTCTGTACAACATGGGATAATTATCTACAACCAATATATTGGTCGAGAAAAAACCAGGGTGATCACATGGGTGAAGAAGATATGGAGACGTAACATGAGTAGTGTCTCCATTTGACATTGACACAATGTAAGAAATTGTAATATGTTAAAAGCACCAAAAAAAAAAAAAAAACTGTATTGGGGGTAAATTGAAAATGAAGATTTTGAAGCCAAATAAAGGCTTAATAATGCGAAAATACGAAAGAAGCCCTCTAATTGTTTGGGAAGACTCCTCCAAATAAGCCAAACGACAACACTCCAAAGAACTAGAGTAGAAGTTTTAATTCTGAAAAAAACTTTGATACCATGTAAAGTTTCAAAATATTTATTATTCCGTATCAGCGCCATTGTAATACAAGGGTGGTTTTATATCATTATACGTATATAGACACAAGGGAGGAAATATCGGTATTTTACTTAAAAAAGACAAATAATATGTTGAGAACCAAACTAAAAGTACATAGGTAGAAGCTAGAATAATTGTGTAATGGAAAGTCAGTGAACCGATGCACTGAAATCTTTCCATATTGCCCGATGAGTTCCACTGTCACGTAATTTTTCCTGACACATTGTCGCGCAAACAACAGTCTTAGTAGATATTGAAATCAAAGGAGCCACGAGCTTGGAGGGAAAATATTTCCATTCATTAATTGAAAGTAATACAGTCAGGGCATATTAAATAGCCAAAGAAAGAATAAAATAGGCAGGAATGAAAAATATCTGACCTAACTAATTCTCAACTGGGAAGAGAATATCAAAACGGCAAAACAAACTAATAGCTAAGTAAAGGTA